GACCCAAACCCAAGCAACATCTGACTCAAGGACTCAAAGTGGTCCCTGGACCTTATTCATCGGCCCCAGATATCCTCTTATGTAAAATAAATCATGTACACCCTTGGGGTCTTTTCTCCAGCAGGGGGTGCTGTTCATGATTTGGACTAAATTTGACCTGATGTTGAGTTAGATGGATCAGACAGGTCAGGGGTCATCTTTAAGAAGCCTCTACACACAGTCCTGTTAACAGCACCACCTAGTGGCAGCATGGGACACAATCATTATTTCCTGGATTGTAATTTATTGAAGTTGTGACTCRTTTCCAGAGGAGAAGAAGACTTTCCCTTTTATTTCTCATTACTGAGGTCTGAAGACCGGCTCTGTTGTTCCAGAACCAGGACATGTTTGTCTTTTGTTGCTCCTTTGTTGTCTTGTTGGAAGATTCATCTTCAGCGTTCTGGTTGAAGGAAGGAGGTTCTAGTCCAAGATTTTAGGGTACATGTCCTGGTCCATTGGTCCCTCAACACAGTGAGGTCATCTTGAACCCTTGACAGAAACCAGCTCTAAATSGTAATGTTGCCACCTCTGTGCTTGGATGTGGAGATGTTCTTCAGTTGAGTCAAWCTCTGCATTTCTTTCTTCAAACACCAGAGGGTTGATTTGGTTTCATCTGACCACACAACTGTCTCCTAACCTTCTGAACCATTTAGATGTTCTCTGCTAAACCTTAGACAGGTCTGGACTTGGGCCTTCTTTAGCAGGGGGAACTTTCTAATGATGGGTCTGGACCTGGACTTTTCCTAAATAGGACCTTCTAATGATGGGTCTGGACCTGGACTTTTCCTAAGGGGGACCTTCTAATGATGGGTCTGGACCTGGACTTTTCCTAAGGGGGACCTTCTAATGGCGGGTCTGGACTTGGACTTTTCCTAAGGGGAACTTTCTAATGATGGGTCTGGACATGGACCTTCTTTAGCAGGGGGACCTTCCAATGATGGGTCTGGACTTGTTTTCCCTACAGACAGGAAGACCTGGTCCCAATACCCACACTTCCACCCTTGTGTACTTCAAATGCGCCTTCACACTGAAGGRTTCAAGTGTGTAGTGTGTCCCAATTCTCCAGCGTGGTCTTTCACCCCGTCCCTTTTGTGCCCTTGATCCACAGTTGGGCTAAGCCCACATCCATGCGGACTTCAGTGAATTTTATTACCCACAATTCATYGCTGTATGTGACATTTTTAATTAAAAGGCAGAAATGTCCTCTGAGCACCTTCCACTCTACTGGTGGTGGTAATGCACTTAAATTAGTCTGCTAACCACCAATAAAACCAAAGAAGAAGAATGTCCACTGAGCAAGCTGTGTTGAGGTCTAGTGTATAAGCCTCCTTCAGTTCACATGCTTGATTTTCCTTAAAACAATTGATTTTTGTATTTGCACATTTTTAGAAGTACAAATGCCAAAATAGCGACTGGTCCCATCATTTTGGATGCTAGTCGATGACATAACCCATGCTGTCCTAATT